TAGCGTTCCACTGGACTGCCTAGAATAGTCCGTGGATGTCATCTATACTCCGCTAGATGACTAGATCTTCATAAACATCGAGGCCTCTCATCATTTTATTTCATCACACACCAACTATTTCATCTACCCATGTTTTACCCAACATATTTGTAGATATAAAATACATATACAGTTCAGAAATGAAAACGAAGTTTAAATCTTTCATACATCATAGATCTCAAGTACAAATTATTCATATATAAGGGTTAGATCTGAAAAGCTTAGATCTGAAGTGAGAAAGTCTAGATCTGAAGGAAAAAGTTCAGATCTGGAAGAAAAAGTTCAGTTCTGGAAGAAAAAGTTTAGAACTGAAAGAAAAAGTTTGGATCTGAAGGAAAAACTTTAGACCTGAAGGAAAAACTTTAGATCTGAAGGAAAAACTTTAGATTTGAAGTAAAAAGTTCAGATCTGAAAAGAAAGAGGTTCAGATCTTTCATCCAGCATAGATCTCAAGTAAATAGATAATATATATATATATATATATATATATATATATATATATATATATACACACACACATATCACATAATTTATATAAAATACTTCATATCTATGTGTAAGATGAAAGTGACTATACACTCACTTGATAATGGGTGATTTGGACAACACTTCGCTTCTTAAAACAATCTTCTTTGATGAAACCAGGAGGTTTGCTTGAAAACCGGGCTCTGCGGGGGCAAAGTTTCCAAACCGAAAAACTCTTTTTTCTTGGAGCCTTCGGGCTCTCCGAGGCTTTCTTCTAGTGCTAGGGAGGTTCCCTAGGCTTTGGGGGTGTTTTGGAAGGCTAGAGAGAGAGAGAGTAGAGAGTGAAAAAGAGTTGAAAAAGTGTGAAAAATGGGGCTGCACCTCACACCCTTATATAGGCGCAAGGCCTCGCAGTACGCTGGGCGTACCCTCGATGGTACACTGCGCGTAAGGGGCAGGTGTCGGAGTTTCGGTGGGGCGACGTGGCTGGCTTCGGACCGCAGAAGAAAAGAGATCGTTGAGCGTACTTCGGTCAACGCGGGGCGTACTCGTACGCGAGGCGTAGCCTCGCATCCAACTTCACAATTTACACCTCCGACTTCTAAAATTCGTAACTTTCGCATACGAGCTCCGTTTTTTACGTTCTTTATATCCACACGTAGGTGGGATCGTAGTCTACAACTTTTGTTTAGACTCCGTCGGTCAATTTTGACTCTGTTTTTAAAGTTATATTTTTAACAGGCCGGGACAGGAAAGTCCGTTAAAAATTCATAACTTCTTCATCCAACGTCAGTTTTTGTCTGTCTTTTTACTGTTGAGCTACTATTAACGAGACCTTCGATTCTCGTTTAGGTTGTGTCGGCTAAAAATCGTTCGATCTAATATTCGAACTCCGGGCTGCATACTACTAACCCGAAACTTAGAAAAATCATAACTTCCTCATACGAAGTCAGATTTGGGCGTTCTTTTTATGCACACTTCGGTTTAACGAACACTATGACTTTCGTTTAGATCGCTAAGGCTAAAAACTTCTCTATCGTAAATTCAGTATTTACGTCACGCAGTGTCGTGTCGGTTCTGTCGCGAAACTTCGACAAGTCATAACTTCTTTGTTATAACTCGGATTTCAATGTTCTTTATATCTCCGGAATCCTTGTCACGACGACTACAAATTTCTTCATCGATATTGGGCTTATCTGACATTTCATTTTTGACGCTTATTTTTATTATATCTTTACAAACAAGTATATAATCACATAAAAGCACATAATTCACATAATATTCAAGTAATTAATCTTTATTACTTTAAAATAGGTTACAACGGTTGACCTAGACTATTACATCATCGCATCAATGCTTAGCCTCGAAACACGGGCGTTACAGCCCCCAACTCCAGGTCATAAGTAAGGATATCCCGCCTCATGCGGCTTCAGTTTTCGCGAAACATTAGCAATCAATCGTCTCCTTTGCATAAGAACCGCCTCCAAACCAATGATGGATGCATCACAAAATACCACAAAATCCTCGATACCCTCTGGAAGGGTTAACACTGGGGCCTCACATAACCTTTATCGCAACGTCTCAAAAGCAACCTGTTGCTCAGGGCCCCATCAAAAATCCACTCCCTTCCGCGTCAGACGAGTGAGGGGTACTTCGATCTTGGAGAAGTCCTGAATAAATCTCCGATAATATCCCGCCAAACCCAAGAAACTCTTGATCTCTGAGGGTGATTTCAGAACCTCTCACTGCATGACGACCTCGATCTTGGCCGGATCGACCAAAATCCCATCTTGGTTAACGAGATGTCCTAGGAACTTGACCTCTCGTAACTGAAACTCACACTTCGAGAACTTGGCATACAGCCGTTCCCGCCTCAACACCCCCAAAATCTCTTGAAGGCGCTCCTCGTGCTGCTCTCTGATATTGGAATACACCAAGATATCATCAATTAACACAATAACTGATTGATCGAGCATCGGCCTGCATGCCCGATTCATCAAATCCATAAACACTGCAGGCACATTGGTGAGCCCAAATGGCATCACCACGAACTTGTAATGCCCATAACGATTCCGAAACGCGGTCTTTTCCACGTCCTCCTCTCTCACCCTCACCTGATGATACCCCCGACCTCAAGTCGATCTTAGAGAACCAAGATGCACCCTGTAAAGGACCATTAGAGGCCATAAGGTTGCCAAATTTATGGATTTATTCCATGCAAACTTCCACAATCATGAAAGAAAAACAGACAAGAACCTAGATCTAGTAACTTAAACTCCTAAAAGGTTGAATCTTGGACACTTACAAAGGTCCAGAATGTGCACAAGATGATGATGATGAAACCTCCTTGCTGGACCAACACTCTAGAACATCTTCTTCATCTTCTTCTAGCCACTAAAACACCAAAATGGATCCAAAACCACCAAGGGGGATTAGGGTTAGGTTTTTCTGAGTTGGAGGCTAAGAAATGAACCTTAAAACTGAGTTAAGAGGGCTTAAATATGTGGGAAACCCTAAAAGTTTGTGGGCTTAGGCTATAGCAGCTCTCACATTGTGAGCATCGGCTCACATCGTGAGAAGGGTCCTGATATGCGATCCTTCTTTGGTTTGTCGCGTCATGACCACCTATGGCTTACGTCGTGACACTCAGTTTTCTCCCAATTCGAATTCAACTTTAATTGATCATAACTTCTTTGTTTCAATTCCGATTCTAACGTTCTTTATATCACTGAAAAGTCTTGAAGAGCTCTACAACTCTATCTTATTACTTAGGCTCACCACATGCCGAACTTATAACGTTAGCCTTCGCAAGCGGCCCTACACATAATTTCCCCCAACCCAACCTCGTGTCCATAAATACAAAATTTCCAGGCCTTGATCCCATTGCCAACAATATCATCTTCCAATAAGGCCTAAACCTTACTTATTTAAAGCCCCAAATCCTACACATAATCGAATTACAGTCCACGATCCTGAATCACGGAACGATCTGAAACAGGGTGTTACACTTACATTCCTAATTTATCCTTGAGTGTTATATGTATAAGTTAATTGTGTGATAATGATCTAATCTCAACACACATGGATATGATCCAAAGACCAAACAAATTCTCAAAATACGTTGCAAAGCTAGTTAGGCGTTTTAGATGTCAGATATTCCTTTTCTTAAACTATTACCTCACATTGTTGCTCTTACCTACAATCTCTCATCACTTGCTATTGGACATGTATGCTTTTGTCACTTATATGCATCTAAACATAAATTGATAGCTAGTTTTAGTTTTGTGGAACATGTTAAAATGTATCATTTATTACTTATTTTCATAATGTATCACTCCTCGTAAAAGAACATGGAAATAACAATGTACTTTTCAAAAAAAAAAAAAAAATTCAAAGTTCCTACTTTGAAATGAAAGGCCTTGGCATCATAAATTATTTTCTTGGTTTTAAGGTTCTCTATCGAATCCTCGAGTGTTTATCTATGTCAAGAAAATACATCTTCAACCTCTAATCTAGAGCATGCATCACACACAACTAGTTTTCTTCAAACACATTTAGATCATAATATTCGTTTAGCTACTAGTATAGGGCTTACACTTCGAGATCCAACTTTGCATAGCCAGTTAGTTGGCTCTCTAATAGTATACCTTACACTTTCTCGTTTGGATATTGCTTATAACATGCACATGGTTGGTCAATTCATGGTCGCCCTTAGCTTTAATCGTTACTCGTCAATGTAATTATGTATCATATTGTATCTTAAGGGGACACTATTTCTTGGTATTCATTTCTCCACTAACATCATATATATGATCTTTGGGGATATTCCAATGCTAACCAAGATGGAGACTTGACATATCTCCGCTCCATAATCGGGCTGACTGTATGTATAACTATAAGTTGTTCCTCATATTCTTGTACTTTGAAATTTTCAATCTTTTATCGAAAATTTCATCACTTGAAATACGCCTACAGTCGATGGAAATGCAAGTTGTTGTCCCATTAACTTGGTGTATTCAAAAGTTGTCTAACGTACTTGGACCATATATACCTATAAACTTATTATTATAAGTTGTTCGAGATAGTAACTAGCAGCCAAACAAATCACCAAAAATCTAAAATATCAATGTTTTGAACTACTTAATTATAAAGAACCATTATCATAGAGGCAAAATGAAACAAACACTACACTTTAAAAATTAAACGATTTTAAACAAAAACAAAAAAGAGCATCACATCGAATCACTCTCCTTTTGACACGTGTCTTGGATGTATTATAGAAAAAGGTAATCTTATGGCCGGCAACCGGCGGCCACATGGTCAACTTTTCATTCTAACCCTTCGAAACCAAATAAAAAGCCTGCATTTGTTTCATCTCCTTTGAACCAAATATTTTGTCTTCTGCAACTCCTTTTTCTTGTCAATGTCACCTTCAATCCACCACCAAACAGTCTGTCAAACATCAATTAAACAACCATAACATAGTTTTCTCCAATATGGGTTGTGCTCCTACAAAGCCCTTGTTGGATACATCCCATCAGGGTCTCCACAAATTGAAAATGGAAAATGGGTACGTTAGAGGAGGATCAAGAAAGTCAGTTTCCGGCGGCCGGAATTTGAGCAGCTCCGGCGGCAGTAGCAGCAGTACTGGTAGCCGGAAGGAGAAGATGCTCATGAATGGTAAAGAAGGGAAGGAGGCTGGAAGTACTGTTAGGAGCACAGGTAGTGGTGGTACTAGTAGTAGTGGTGGTGGTCGTGGCGGCAGTGACGGTGGTGTGGTGACGCGGAGGAGCAGTGTGTCGCCGAAGCTTGATAATTCCGATGAGTTAGTTGATGGGTGGCCGAAATGGCTCACTGATAATGTTCCAAAAGATGCTCTTGATGGATTGATCCCGAAGAGTGCTGATGCTTATGATAAGCTTGATAAGGTCACCACCATATATATCACTTTTATTTGATAATTATAATGCATGGTATCCATGCGTCCACAATGATTGTTGATTATGGACGTAGGAAACATAAAAACTAAATGAAGGGTTAATTGCAATAAATACATAGAAAAAACATTTGTACTTTTGAAATTTTATAGATTTAGCTGCTTAATTAGTACTGTTGTTCGTGTTATAGGTGGGGTCGGGGACTTATAGCAATGTGTACAAGGCTCGAGATCGAAAAACCAAGAAAATTGTCGCTCTCAAGAAAGTTCGTTTTGACACTTCTGAACCCGAAAGTGTAAAGTTTATGGCACGAGAGATCATGATGTTAAGGAAGCTTGATCATCCAAATATTGTGAAGCTTGAAGGTTTAGCAACCTCGCGAATGCAATACAGCTTATATCTAGTATTCGACTATATGCAAACTGATTTATCAAGGATTATTTCTCGGCCCGATGAACGGCTTACCGAGCCTCAGGTTCGATCTTTTTATTGCATAAATATCTTCGTCCTGACGGATATTAATCTTTTTTCTTCTATAACACGTATCGTTTTCAGGTGAAATCATATATGCAACAATTGCTTTCAGGCCTTCAACACTGTCACGAGAGAGGAATTTTGCATCGAGATATTAAGGGTTCAAATCTATTGATCGATAGAAATGGGATGCTAAAGATAGCCGATTTTGGGCTTGCAAACTATTACAATCCAAGAAGACCTGTTGCCCTCACAAACCGAGTTGTGACACTTTGGTATCGAGCCCCCGAGTTGTTGCTAGGTACGACTCATTACGGTCCAACTATCGATCTTTGGAGTGCCGGATGTCTCTTGGCAGAAATGTTTGCAGGAAGGCCTATTATGCCCGCAAGAACCGAGGTCAACTCAAACCATCCGAATCTTGATTTCACACAAACTTTCAGAAGTAGAATTAGATTCTAATTCCGAACAGAATCCAACAAAATGTTGGATTCTGATATGAGATAGAGTCGACCTCATATAAGGTTGACTCTACTTTAGTCAAGAGCAAAAACCAACTAAAACATTTTGCAGATTTCATGGTTGTTGAATTGATAATTTGCATTAAGTTTGTAGATCATAATGTAAGTTTATTCGCATTTAGGTTGAACAACTTCACAAGATTTTCAAGCTTTGTGGGACACCACCCGAAGATTATTGGAAGAAATTGAAGTTATCAACAACGTTTAGACCACCACATTCATACAAATCGAATCTTCGAGAAGCTTTTAGAGACTACCCGAGATCGGCATTGGGACTTTTAGCCATTCTTCTAGCTCTAGATCCGGTGTTTCGTGGTTCGGCTAGTTCTGCCCTCCAACACGAGGTAAACACTATACCAAACTCTTTTGTTTTGACCTTAAAGTCAATATGTTAGAATCTAAAAAGAAACTATTCGATGATTGTAGTTCTTTCACACAAGCCCATGGGCGTGTGATCTTAGTGGTTTGCCTGTGGTTAAAGTAGACGACGATGATTTGGCTCAAACAAACGAGCCACGAAAGTAAGTTCATCAAACCTTGACATGTTCATTTTAGAAAATGAATGTTGCTTCCTTTTAACCTAATAGACTTGATGAGAACACGACTTAATCCAGTAAGCTATATATAAGTCAATAAGTGTTCCTTTTTATCTAATACAAAGATAGAAAAAGTCAATGGGGGGAAAGTTAGCGAAATGAATGTGACACATTATTTGTCTTTTTTAACAAATTTACCTTATTTATCTAATTTTTTCATATCTCATAGTGTGCCATTATTTTCTCAAATGTTCTAAACATCATTTATTCAAACAAGATTCAATGGGGAAAATAAATAAGGCCTTAATAATATGATTTTCATAGCAGGATTAGAAAGTCGAGGACACGACAAAGGTCTAGAGCTCTAAAAGAGCAACGAAAAAAGGATCAAACTGTCGAAAATCCGAACATAGATTCGGCTTCTCCAAAAGAGGTACATTTTTATATTTTCACCTCCTACGGCTCCTTCAAGCCACAAACATTAAAGGTGCACAACACCTATGACACTGACAATGGCTATGACGCTGACAATGGCCAGACTTACGTTGATCCGGGCCCATCCCTCTTGGCCCGATTCAACTTCAACTTAACTTCAACTCTCTATGCAACTCATTTAAACATATATCATGACAAACGCATGGTCTCTTATGTTTTGTAGGAAGCCGAAAAGAAGCAAGAAGTCGAGATAAAAATCGATGAGCTTGTGATATCCAAAACAAGCCCGTTTTCGCCTCATGTGGGCCCAAGCCCAAGCCCAACGAAGGAAACCCTAGCTCCTCTACCCTCTCCAGACAATTTATACCAACGCTACAGAAGACAAATGAGTGAATCACACCCTAATGCAAAAATGAACATCAAGAATCGGCCCCCACTACCCGGTGCTAAAAGATTATCCGACAAATACGGTGGCATGATTGATGAACATCTGACCCATGTTCCAAGATCCTCTTCCACAAGAGAATATCGAAACATGGATCAAAGAAAACTCGACTTCAATCTACACGATGATTAGATTGATATATACAACACCAAGATACTATTTTTGTTTTTGTTATTTGAATTCGTTATTTCTATCTTCTTACCTTATATTTTTACATAAAACGACTAATTTATAACAAAACTACAAATACACTTCAATTCCGATTTTAAAGACCGGACCAAAACTTAAATAGTTACTATACACAAAGAATGAAGCCAGTTCCACAAGAACACACCAATACACCCATTACACAATCACACCAATGTAGAGACTCAAAATGACAATTTTACCCTCTCGGAAACATGTACACCATCCACACACCCTTGTAAGTTTTAACAAGCTATGAAAGGATTGAAATGTAAAAATGGAGGTTGTTAAAGTTCAATGGAATCATTCCCTCTGCTGCGTATTTCTGATTCAATATCTTCAATGTTATGACGTTGTGAGATCTTTAAAATATCTCCTCCAAAATCCAGATCATCTTCTACCTTCATGCGGCGGTTCTCCGGCGCACCACCATCATCGGTGCCGGAATCCCGGGCGGTGGTTGGCGGTGGCCGGTGGACTTCTTCTTGGATTGGAGCCCGGAACTTGTTCTTTGATGGCTTTATCTTTGTGCAGAAAACTTCAAGGAAGTTGTTTATGCAACCACGATTATAAACATTGTATCTGTTGTCTGATCTGTATCGGAAGTTTTCATAGGTTGTCTGAAAATAAAAAAAATAAAAACTGAAATACTCGTGAAAGTGGAATTATAAATTTTTGAAAAGTGATTATGTGACATAATACTTTGGATGTGCTTTTGTTGCTTCAAGTTGTCATAATCATTTTCAATAGTAACTTGAAGTAACAATAATCATATAATTTTTTTTTTTAAATAGTAAACATAAATTTTAAAAAGCTGTTTTACTAAACCTGGTTTGAAGAGATAAGGTAAAGATGAAAGCCAGTGAGGCCACCAACAAACCAAAGTGAGATAAAACAATAAGCCATTAATACAACTGATGCAGGAGACTCTTGCATGGCTTTCCAAACAGTTCCCTTCTCATCTCTCATCAAAATCTTGATATATAAAGCCGACATTGAGAATATGTAGATGCAAAGAAGTGTTGAGGAAGACACGAATAAAAAAAAGAAACGATAATTTCGCTGGATCACAACATAAACCATTAGTTTCATGAACAAATAAAAAAAATAAAAGAAATGATAGAAAGTATAATGAAACTGAAATCATACCAATCCAATGCATTGGCCCACCCAAGGGCAATGATGATCAAAGCGCTCAACACAATTGTTACAAATGGAACAATGAGAGCATCGAGGAGGGCGATAAAGCATGCATGTGTCACAGTATTTGACTTTGACCGAAACCCCATTGACCATGACTTCTTTTGTTCGTGGGAATTGTAAAGTCGGTGTTTGTCTTTCTCCACTTTCTTGTGATATTGATGTCTCGTATCGAAATTCTTCCTCCGGTGGATGCAAGTTCCGCGGTATAATTCCCGGATCACGCGCCGATGTAAGCAGAAGAAGCACCAAATCCTACCAAAATCAACAACAATGTCACGTCAGGTCAGAACAGAAAAGGTTGTACTGTGTTTGACATGACCCTGTCAGAATATGACATGACATGATAGGTTGTACTGTGACGGGCATGTCCTTGACATTACAGTACATGACAGGTTGTACTGTGTTTGGCATGTAGTGAAATGAATATAATGAGACAAATTTAAGTGCGAGGTGAGGGTTAATAGGACTAACGTAGATTGTAAATATGATTGCTGCCACAATGATGGCGTATCCTGCATTATATGATGGGAATTCATGGCGAAGATGTCTTCCAACAAATATACAAAAAATAGTAACGGGAACAATGATCATTGAAAAGGAGGCGAGTAGAGACTTGGCATCTGGACCGAAGATCAATCTCCCTCCAAGAAAGAATTTCTGAAAAGAAAAAGAGAAATTATGATATTTTAAATAAATGCAAAAGACCCAAATTGGAAAGTTGTTACGTATTTTTATTGAAGGGTAAGAAACAAATATAGAAACATATTTACCCAACTATGTGTGAAATCTAGTGTTTAGGTATCATATCAATTAATGTATGATACTAAAATTAGAAAAAATTATTATATTTCCATTTTAGTTGGATTCTTTCTAGCTGAGTAAATTGAATGTGCCTTATGGCTTGATTTTGACCTAAGCAAGAGGTCAATGAAACATGAGTTAGAGAGAAGTTGTTTTATATGTATAGTGTCTTTTCTTTTTATGATACAAACAAGGAAGATCACAACCATGATTCTCTTTTATGGTTACCATAGATAGTGATTTTGTAGCTACAAAGTTGATCTTTTTTCAAGTACTCATATCATTATGTATCATGAAAGAAGAAATTTAGGAGCCAATAATATCTGATATATAAATGCCAAGAAAACATGTTTAAGCAGCATCAATCATGTATATTGCACATGGGGACAAATAGAACCCTAAGGCCTAACCAAATAATCAACAAATGCAATCAGTAGCCTCGATTTCAATCAACAGAATAGGGGAAAAGTAGATTTTAAATCATCATCGCTAAACAAAAGCAATCCCACCAAATTATTCAAAGAAATAACTGTATCGGAATTATAAGCAGCAAATCTGAAGCTGAAGCAGATTACCAAAAACCAAATAAGTCAAAATCGAAATTTGAAATCTTACATTTCTCCCTTTCCAGACTTCGTAAACCCTCTTCGCCATGTGAAATCAAAAACCCAACTCGTAGGACAATTATGCGGGTAAAGAATAGAATATCTGGAACTTATTACAGCTCATAGTTCCCTATTCTTTCCGCAAGACCCACAAATGGAAAACTTCAGTACATAGTTTAGACAGCAGAGGGTTATTTCGAGAAGGGGGAAAAGTTAGTAATTTAGTGTGACGAAAGGGTTTTGTCAGTGGTTTAGGATCTGAAAGAGCGAGGAGATGGTCGCCGTCGTCGTGGTGGCGGTTTTGCGTATTGAGGGCATGTTTAATGGGGGGAATGTTTTGGGAAAGCAGCTTATTTTTTTTAGAAACAAAATCCCTCTCTCATGTCCTATTCACTCTGCAAATTACAAGTCGTTCCCTTGCTGTAATGACTAATCAATTTTGGCTTTTTGTTTATGCTAAATTGCTAAGTATATGGCTAAAGGGCTTAGGAGTTATGACCATGTTTACAGATGATAATAGACAAATATGTCTAGTTTAATTAGTATTTTTTTTAAGAAATAGTCAAAATTAATCTACTCATCAAAATACTCGATCAATTTTGTAAGTATTATTTGCGAATTGACGGTATCTCTATGAAATACTGATCTATGAAATACTGACGGCGTCTGCAAAATAATCAGTTTGTTTGATGTCACCTATGAATTTATGAAATGGTCAATAAATATGTTTTTTTTAATATAATTAATTAAGATTTTCTAAGATGTGTCCTCACATAAAAAACATTAATTGAACTATTAATTATGGAGAATATAACCATAATTAAATGTGAAATTCATTAATTATAGAAAAAATATTCTTCATAATTAATGCATTTCACATTTAATTATACTAATATTTCCCATAATTATAGAAAATTTTGTAACGACCCAAAATTATGAGGTAAAAATTTCATTTTTAATTTAACCGAAACATTAATTATCTTTAAGTCAACATTCAATATCTGTTTATCCAAATATTCAAAAGTAATTTTATAAGAAAACAGTTATTAGAGTACAATCCCAAAATCATCGTGATGCGGAAACATGGGTGGATGCGCTGCGATCAATACGGGGCCTTCCATTTCGAACCGGAAGTACCTGAAACCATAACCATAAAAACCGTAAGCACGAAGCTTAGCGAGTTCCCCAAAATACCACATATCATACATAATAATCACATACTGGGCCCCGACCCTTCGTCAGGCCTCGTCCGGCATCAGATCCTGTCCAACATCTGACCCCGCCCGACATCGAGCCCCGGTCGGTATACAGATCTGTCAATCTCCAGGCCTCGCCTGATATCGGGCCCCGCCCGATACACATCTAAACATATAACATATAATCATACGAACACATGCGATAATCACAAAGACAATAGCATACCATACAATCATCGAGCCCCTCCCCGCATCGGGCCTCGCCCGGTAAGCATAAAACACATACTGATAATTAGCATACAATATTCTCATCAGGGCCCGTCTGACATCGGGTCATGCCCGGTAAACATACCATCACATAACACATACAAGAGTCACGCAGACATCTAGCATCCTAACATATAACCCATGGGTCAACATTGGTGCCTTCGACCCGCTAAACATAGTGAGGAGACTCACCTCAATCCGCTGATAACCAAATAACAACTCGGACCGCTGAACCGGATAACCTCACGCCAACTAACAAAAAATACAATCTTAATCAATGATTAACCCGATAACCTAAAATTCGAGGCTCACTCCATAAACCAACTTCATAAAGGGTAAAAGACCATTTTACCCTTTTCTTACTTGTTCCATAACCAATGTCCAACTCAATTGCACAAAAGCCCAAAATGGCAACCCAAAGCCCAAATCAAAAGCAACAAAAGCCCATTATGGCCCAATAACCCGATTGGTCCCCAAAACCATCATGGACCTACTTCCAAGAAAACCCTAAGTCCATCCATGGCCCAAAGTCAGAAGTCGAATGGCCCAACATGGCCCAAACCTCAAAAAGCCCAAAAAGACAAACTGGGGAGTACGCCCCGCGTACTCACCCTCGAAGCACAGATTACAAGCAGCTGATGCACGAAATCTTCATTACGCCGAGCGTACTTCCTGCGTACGCCCATCGTACTCATTAGGGACCAAAAATCCAATATTAAGCTCTTAATGGTTAAGACAGTGACTTCCAAACTCGAATATGAACCTAATGAGATGTCTTAACATGTAAAGTTGCCAACTTTACTCCTTTGCATGGCTTAATGGGACCCAGTCCTTAATAACATACATAATAAACATCCAAATTCATGAATGGTCCAAAATAACTCATCAAGATGACATTTTTTATGAACAAGGGACCTCCCAAAGGCCAAGATCCAACATTAAGCTCTTGGAGTAGCTCATACTCACAAGGATGACTCTAAGGACCAAAAAGAACCCCAAAATACTCCTTAAACAAGATCTACCACCTAAAGTTATCAAGATAGAAACTTTATACCTCGAAAATGTAGATCAAGATGCAACAAGCCTGGATCCAAAAGCTTCAAGCAATCTCATACTTCTCCAAGAAGTTCCTTTTTATTCTATGAACACCAAAAAGCATGAAATACCACCAAAAGCTCAAAAACCACTTAAATGGGGGTTAGGGTTTCGTTTCTGGGGTTTAGAGGGATGAAGGCTGAAGATAATAGGGTTTGGTGGTGAGTTAAGGAGCTTAAATAAGCCAAGACCCTAAATTAGGGTTTGGGTCTGACTCGAGTACGCTCAGCGTACTTATGGTACACCCATCGTATTCCCTAAAGAACCACGATCATTTTGCTTAGTACGACCAGTGTACACCCCGCGTACTAGCCTTCTCACTACTCACTAGTACTCCATGCATACACTTGTGTACTCCCCGCGTACCTGGTTAAACCCTAAAATCACCAAACTTCAGAAGGCCATAACTTCTTCGTTATAAGTCCGTTTCCAACGATCCTTATATCCACGAAAAGGTAACGAGAAGCTATACGCTTCTATCAACTCATACTTGCCTTAAAACTTCCTGGAATAAAATCCAATTTCCATAAAAGCCTGAACTGACACTTTACCGACATATCCCTTAGCTCCAAAACACAAAACGAACTCCCGAATCATATAAATTACATTACCCATACCCAAATGGGTCTAAATATCTTTTCCTCAAAGGCCCTAAGCCTGATGATACCCGATCTTTGGTCACCACCCCTCATTAGGAAACGATTCGGAACAGGGCTTTACAGTAATATTTCCCATAATTAATAGTTCTTATGTGTGCCCTTAGGGCACATATTAGAAAATCCGTAGTTAGGCAATATTACTTCCAACCTACCTGTTTATGTATAAATTCAGCTAACGGTATTAATTCTCACCTACAACCTTATTTGAATACTATATAATATGTTTTAATATTAACATTCTTTTATTCATTGTAAAATAAATTCATCTGTAGTTGGTGTTTGGCATTGTGAAGATGAAAATTGTTATATTTGTTCCGATATAAACTCATTTCCTCGTGGCCTGAATGAACTACTACCGGCTAATATGCCTGATTACATATTTAAAGCGACGATGCAAGCTGAAAAGCCAATCGAAAGAACTCATAAAGGAGTTGGATACTTAAGGAAAATGCAAAAGTTCTCTCATCAGATGTGAAAGAAAGGGAAGAATATATAGCTGATACTAAGATAAAAAACTAAAAAATAAAGAAAAGTGGATTGGTGATGCAGATGCAGAGATATACAAGCTTGTGGCAAAATCAGGCATTCTTGCAGATGTTGTTAAAATTGATCGCAAAAAATTTGAATATTAGATATATGTATTAAAACCTTAATGTAGCGTGTTAAATGTTAATACATGTTTGGTCAAAGACTAGTATTATATATATATATATATATATATATATATATATATATAGATTGGATCCATTAGGATCACTAACTTTTTTAGGATCAATATGATCACTTTTTCAACCCTCATTTTAGAGCTTATGTTATATCGAAAAAAAATATTTAAATTCATCATTTTTCAACCTTTTTCCATATTGGTATTCGAAAAAAAATTCCGTAACATTTGCATCACATGCATATTATTTGGAAAAATGCTTTTCTAGAGCTTATTTTCTATCGAAAAAATAACTAAAATTATGTAAATTTATCATTTTTTAACTTCTACCCATACTTATTTCAATTTTTTTTTTGCATACAACGTAAAATGTGCACCATATGCATATAAGTAGAAAAACGTTTGCTTTGAATTTCTTTTTTCAAAACATCATCTTTTATAGCAGTGTCCTAACTTATTAAGATATTTTTCATCTGTACATTAATGTGCATATATGCATATTTTCATTTTGTGTATATGTGTATATGGTGCACATTTTACGATTTTTTTCGAATACCAATATGAAAAGTGGTTAATAAATGATGAATTACATATTTTTAGTTATTTTTTTTATATAAGATAAGGTATAAAACCAATGTTGAAAAATCATACACATTTGAGTTTGTGCATAAAGGCACATTTTTTTCAACTTTTTCTAGATATGTTTTTTTCTAAAAAACATTTTAATTGACTAGGATGTTGATATAGAAGTTGAATCGTTAAATGTATTTTTTTTACAAAAAAATGTGCATATGGTGCACCATTTTCATAGAATTTTTTTTATTATTTTTCGAATATCAATATGGAAAAAGTTTGAAAAATGATGAATTTACATATATTTATTTATTTTTTTCAATATAAGATAAGCGCTAAAATGAAGATTGAAAAGTGATCTTATTGATCCTAAAAACGTTAGTGATATCATTGGAACTTTATTATATATATATATATATATATATATATATATATATATATATATATATATATATATATATATTAAAACCTTCATGATTCTTTGGGTACTTCAAAATTTTCACTTGATACTCTTTATTTATTATTTACTTTTTAGAACGAAAGAAATCTATTAGAAACAAGCAAGATGCTAGTAATGAAAACAGTTTACAAAGAGAAAATTACAGAGTCAGTCGTGCAACCAACAAACCCAATTAACTTTATATCTTTTACTCCCATTATTAATCCAAAAGAAAGCATGGCAATAAATTTTATCAAAAAGCTCCGATTTTATTTGTTTAATCGTTCCCAACAACATGTTGTTTCGAAAAAAAACACAATATAGCAATAATGACTACATCAAAACACTTTTTTTACACTGCATTAATTGAGTAAGCCTTTGATCGTAGGGTGGGAAGGATCGTCCAATCCCTCATCATCTAATGATTTTCATCCAAATAGATTTAGCAATAAGATAGATGGTAAATAAATGATTCGTAGTTTCATATAAGGAATCACAAATAAGGAAAAAGACATAGTCAA